GTTCTTTTTGATTAATCTCAAAGTGTGTTTCGCACTTGATTTGTGTGTATCTACGTGCGTCCAATAAACTAGTATCAGAAATAACTAATTGAAATGAGAATTTTGTAACCTTTGCATGTATTTATTCCATAAAACTACTTGTGATTCTAAATTGATGTTCCTAGGGACATGACTGATTGATATTCTCAAGCAAGAAATTTAGGGCGTGCTAGTGTACAAATATATCCGCTCAAAATGACTTTTTTTGTTAACCAGATTTAATTTTGAAAAAAATATATGGTTAGTTGTTAGTGTTATTTTATACTAAAATAATACTTAAAATAAAACAATAAAAATTGATTTGATGTAAAAGTAAGAGAGGAATGATGTGAAGTGATGGTTAGTTAAAATTATGTGAGTGGATGAATAGTGAATCAAAATGGATGTGATGTATAAGAATTGCTGGTTTAGTACTATTTAATTATAATAATAATATTGGAGATAGTGAAGTTGCGGTAGAGTTTGAGTTAGATTTTGAGTATGAATTGGATAAATTTATAAACAAACACACCCTTTAAGAGGATTGATCGACTGCCTTTTTTTCTCCGTAGATGAAACCTTTTTACCTTGAGCAAAATTCTGGACTCTCCTTTGCAGTTAGCATTTGATTTCTTATAGTTCTTGTTTCTATTTTTGCTGTATTTATTAACTTTACACCGTCAACAATTTCACTGTTGCCTTATCTTTTTCAATATTTGACTCTTCAGAAAAGTGTAAGTACCGTTAATCAACTCATTCATTTTGCAATATTTTAACATAATAATTTTAATAATTTTGTATAGTTCAAGAACCAAACAACAATACCTACTTAAGCCCATTCATTATTTCCTTTTTTTTTTTGTGGTTTTTTTTTCTTGATCATGCATACCCTTTTTGCAGATAGAGCCCGAATCACAAACCAGTCTGCTAGATACCACGATGAATACAAAAGGAGTTCTATTGGCTGGTATTCCTGGTGCAGGTGGATTTGACGCGGTGTTTGCCATTACCTTGGGAGCTTCAAGCAGCAATGTCGTGAAGGTCTGGAGTTCGCTCAATGTTCTGGCCTTGCTAGTGAGAGAAAATCCACGTGGCGTTCATCTAGAGGCCAACGATCCACGAACTACCAAGATTACTGACTCGGTTTCTAACATTCATATTGGGTAAGCTCGTAGTTTATGCTGCTACTTGTGTTTTATCAATTGAATTTGAATAAAATAATTGTATTTTTCTGACACATTCAGATAAAAAAAAAGTTTGTGAGTGATGTTTACTAAAAGGAAAATTTACTAAAAATAAGGAAATAAAACTGGCCTGTTGTATTTTCTTTTTGAAATGCTTTTGCAATCTAGGCATTGAATGGTGTTGGAGCTGAAAGATATTCAGGAGTTTTTGTTCATGGATCAGTATTCTTCAATTTGGTATCTATGTTTTACTTGTTTTATTTACTACTTATTTTCAAGACCTTGAATTGTACCTTGGATTTCTTGGGGTTCCTTTTTATGTTGGTACAAATTCCAAAATGGACTTGCTTTTAGAAAATAATAAGCTGATTGTTAGTCGGACCCGACGGTTGTCGATAGGCAATCTTCATATAGTTTCATGTTGAAGTGAATACCCAACGGCCAACGGTTGTTTGATAGACAATCGTACTTTTGCAACAGATTCGTATATTTTCATATTGAAATGTTTTGTTTTGAATGATAACATTGCACAAATGTGTGATTGCATTTTTCATGTTGAAATATATATTTTTTTATTAAATAACATTAACCAAATATGACCTTTATGAAATAAATTGACCTTTATTCAAAAAAATTCTAAGTGTGTGGTCTAAAGATTGTGTAGTCTAACAAGGCTTGTATTTAAGAAACACTTTCATGAATTGGAATTTTTATCAGCTCTGATTGAAAGTCTGAAACTTGTTTGAATTATTGAGTGTCCAGCTTGGCAACTCAAAGGATGAGTCATATATGCATGTTGTATTTATATAAATCGTCATAAATATTTACCACGTAAATATATAAACATTACTTTATCTAAATTAAAAAAATATTCTTTGTATATATGTGTTCGGGTCAAACGGGATGACCAGGCGGAGTCAATGTCTGGGCCTACCGGGTTGCTTTTTAACCAATCTGAAAGGCCCCACCCGTGCTGGGTCCACCTCCGGCTAGATTCTTGCCGGTCGGTCTAAGTAAAAATACACTAATTTTTTGCAAAAAAATAGATACAAAAAATATCAATGATGCCAAAGTTTCACAGAAGGTAACACTATAAAATTATTATTTATAGATTTTGAATATGATGTGATGTGAAAAATAGCAAATTTATATATATAAGTTATATCAAATTTTATGTTATTTTGTTTGCTACTGTAACATGACCGTTTTCTATTTTCACAGTGACATAGTTTGGTAGCAGTTGTCCACCAAAAATTTGGACACAAATAACCAATCCATTTATTTCAACTGCAGCTGTTTCAGTAGTTAGCAAAAGCACAAAATTGACAGGGAAAAATAGGTGAAATTTCCACCATTTATATGCCATTGGTTTCAAGAATTTTTAAATTTTGTTGGTAGTTAATATTTATCTTATTTATCTTATTCAAATTGAAAATAAAAAGTAATTTATTTTTTTAAATACTATTCATTTCATTTCATTTTTTTTTTCTATACAAATCCCACTAACCCAATTAAGAAATATAAAATAATAATTATATACACATTTCTAATAAAATATACTATTCGTCCATTCACACATTTCTAAATCCATCGATTTTATTATTTTTATATCATATCAATTCTCGTTATTACATTTTTATCTTGTATATATTCACAATACCAAAATTATCTTTCTTTTTTCCTATTTTACTTTTTCGTCTCACTTTTTTCCGGATGCGAATTTTTTCCGAAGAACATCGTTGTGTTCTATTATGAAAAAATAAATAAATAAATAAATAAAATAAGGTTCTCATGTTAAATGTAGAATGAGATGCTGAGAGCATGATTGGATACAAAATTTTTCAAAAAAATCTAAACATTTTTAACTCAACCATTTTTTTTAACTCAACTCTACTATCATCAATATTATCAATATAATTATCAATCAATCATTCATAGACAGCACATCAACCTTCAATCACTATTCATCTACTCACATTATTTTAACTAACCATCACTTCAAGTTTTCTATTTTACATCAAATCAACTTTAATCATTTTATTTTAAATAATATTTTAATATACCCACTAACAGCTAATCATACTAACTTTTTCGAAAATAACCAAACCAAACAAAAAAAATCAAAACAAAACCAAAATTTTTTATATCCAATCAGACTGTTTCATTCTATATACCAATAAGTTGTGCTAATCCAATTCATTTTTCAACTCTCGTTTTTTTTTTATAAACACCCATGGATGAAAGAACAAAAAAGATATTATGGGCGTGATAAGCCTTTAAATCAATGGCAATAATTGCTTTTTATAAAGGCTGTCTATTGTATAAGGTGAGGCTTTAATTATGTG